TGGGTCTGATCCTTTTCGTGACTTCTTGACTGCTGCTGTCACATCTTTTTCCTCCTCACTGGTCCTTGGGGAAACTTTCTGCCTTGACTCTCCATTTCCATCTCAGCAGCTCCCTGGAGCCCTGATCCCACTGGGGTGGCAATGCCGAAGCTCCCCAGGGACAGAGCAGGGACGAGAGGTGTTCCTTGGACCATCAGGACAGAGGGTTTCTTCTCCACTTGCCTTAGGCTTCACATACCTTCCCACACTACTTCGTATTTCTTCTTGCTTCTTCAAAGAAGCCAAAAAGGCTTTGTGCGTGCTCAGAACCCCTTCCCCATCCTTCATCTGCTCTCTCCTCCCATCCACCAGCTTGTAGAGAGGTGCACCACCTCTTCCAGAGAAAGCCTTGCCTGCGGGTGAAGCAAAGCAGGAGCTTCAGAGCAGTTTTTCTCACTAGTGAGCCTTGCCTCTTTTTTTTAGTATATTTTTTTTTTTCCCCAGCAACCCAGTATCTTTTGCCAAAATGTGTTTTCCACATGTTCCCTATTAGTCATGCTCTCTGTCTTACAAATCTGTTACCAGTGCCACTAGCTGATGCTATTAATTTACTTCCAACCAGCTCAAGAGCTCGGCAGCAAAATTCCAGGCAGCGTTCCTAAAACCAGACCCGGCGGCTTGTTTGGATTTAAAACCGATGCCACTTTCTTCCCCGGTGTATTTATATATATGTATATAGCACCTCCGCTCCTTCTCCCAAGGCTTGGCGAGGGAGAGGGTCCAAGCGTGGCGGTGGGCCCGGTGGGTGCCCGGCAGAGGCGTGGGTGTTTGCCCATCCGTTAAATCCTTCCCTTGCGCTCCGCTTTCCAGCCGCTGCGGCACGGCTGGACCCAGGCGGAGGGAGTTTATCTAGGGCAAGGAATGTCGGCGGAGGAGGGAAAGCCGCCGCGAGAAGCACCATGTCTCTGTAAGTAGATTTTTTTTCCATTGTTTTCCCGGTGGTTTAAGCAACGGTGTGGGAATGGTGTAGAAAAGAAGGACATTCAGCTAGCACCAATATTTTTTTTCCTGTTTATTTTTTTCCTTCATCTGCTTATTTTAAACTCAGGTTTTAAAGTTTTCCCAGATCCAACAGTTGTGCCTGCGGTTGCGCAGAGGGGTCAGTGGGTTTCGGGAAGGAACCATGATGAGAACGTGGAGCCAACAGCTCATTCCGCTCCCTGGCTAAACGCGATTTTCACTATTTTACGTGCTGCTGATGGGTTGAACGATCCAACTCCTCCTTTGTAGCTGTTTCAAAGTGCAACTTGTACCCCGCGTGTGTTTCACACACCGCGTGTCAGCTAGTCTGGAGGTGACGTGTGAAGATAGATGACTATGCATGAATGGATTTCAAAGCTGGAGGGATGGTGTGTCCTCTCACGCGATCTCTCCAGCAGGTCATTTAGCCACAGGAACCACCTCGTCTAATCCATCTACCTGCTGCAGATCCACACAGGGAGCTGAACCTGTGTAACTTTTCCATTGCACAGAGGGATTAGGTCTGAAGCACACAGAAAGTACAAAAATCCATGTGTTGTGCTTTGATAGTTGGCATTGTGAGGAGATCAGACATAGTCTTCTCCTAGAATCATCCTAGTCAGCAGCAAAAGCAATGTGAACAAATCCTTTCTTGGAAGCTTGTTTGCCTTATAATTAATTCCTAAATATAACGGTGTACTAACCCCACCCCCCCATCTCGCCAAGCAGTTAAAGGCACTGAAATCTCACAGTGTAGTCTTTCTAGCCAGCAAGTCGCAAAAAGCACTGGAAGCTTCACTGAACTGATTGTAGGAGGGGTTTTTAACTCATTTCCTTCAGCTCCTGCTTTCAAATACGGTGCCAGGAGATTGGGTGGACACACAGGAGCATTAATAATGTCAAGGTGTGATCATACACAGAGGCAACAGCGGGTCCTGGGGGTGCAGAAACAGCTCCAGGCTGTTTCCTGCAGATGTTCCTGCCGATCCAGATGTGCACGGAGAGCTGACCGCAGGGTCAATGGCAGGACCAACAGCTCGGGCTGGTGGCTGGTAGCCGGAGGTGGTCTTCTCAAAGCAACACCCCGTCACTTCAGTTATTTTGCTTTTTTTTTCCTCCTTTCTGACTCAGGAGGTTTGCGAGTGTTTTGAACCAATGCTGTCGGGTGCTCCTTTCTAAAATGTGTCTCCCAGAGGAGATGGTGGTTCCTTTGCTAAAACCCCTGACCAATATCAGACCAAAACTTGAATATTTTCTCCAAAAGCCACCATTATCTTGGTCAAACCCTCCCTGCCCCAGCAATACTGCTCTTGGGAGGTGACTCTAAGCTTTGGGAACTGTGTCCTTGAGTAACGCTTGCAAAATGGCAAATTATCCCCAGTGTAGACCTCATAAACCCTTAAGGTGAGCACTGAAACGATCAATGAACTGCTCTACAGGACATTTGAAGCCCTTGTTTTAGAGCAATGTGGGGCTTGCAGCTAATTGCAGATGCAGATGGAGGAGGAGGTGGCTGAATGCCCACATGGGGCCAGCCAAGCTGGGGCCAACGTGTGCTCCATCCAAGCCCCAGCCCTGCCTCGGCTGGACCCGGATGCTCCAGAGGCAGATGCACTGTGTCCCGCAGCAGGCCATCGCTGCGCCCAGCGGGGTCTTCCCTTCCCAGCCCCTCGTCAGCTGGAGCTTGGCCAAATGCCTGGATTCATCCTGCAAATCATTTAACGCCCCATTTTGCCCTTATCTGAATGGGGACACAAATCGGAGGAAGGGTTCAAGATACATTAAAGTGTATCCACTGAGTCTAAAGAAGCAAGAAGGCACTCAGAGGGGATGCTTTCCCATCTCACCCCTGAATAAATCAAATTTTCTCAATAAATAAAGAATAGCTCTGTGGGCATCACCTTCCATATTCTTCTGCAGCGTTTCTGTACTGACCATTGGGTCCAAGCCATCACTTTTGGGGTAGGAGATGGGGATTCTGGTCCCAGCAGCTTTGAGGGCTGTTGTCCTTCACCTCAACTTTGAGGACAGAGAGGAGAATTTCCTCCACCTCTTCTTCTGGCTTATTACACAGCCTGGAGTGAGCTGTTTCTCTGCTCCCTGCCTCAGTTTCTCCAGCTGCAGGACAGGAATAAGAGCCCTCGCCCCCCTCTGCAGAGTGCTCCTGCAGTCTTGGTCAGGCGTGTGAAGACTTGGGGGTTTGGGTTCGCAGAGCATTTGTTTGATCTAGAAATAGCAAGGTTAGAAAATTCCATCTGCTTGCTCTCAAGAGCCCTCAACGATGGAAGAATTTCGCTGCATCTCGAGCCTCGGGCTGTGCTGCTGCCTCCCAGGGCAGCACGAAGGCGAGGGCTGAGCAAACCAGCACTGTTTGGCTCCCGTCCTAAGGAGCAGCATGAGCAAAATCGCATTCCAGAAAGGCTCGACGTGGAGAACAGAGCAGGGCACATTTCCCGTCTTGCTCCCACTTGGGGCTGTGCCCACGGCTGGTGCTGGTGGCTGGTCCTACCCTGTGCCTGGCATGGGTGATGGGCTCAAAGCCTGGTTTGTGCTGTGGAAAGCCTAGGGCATCATTTTGTGTCTCCACATAAAAATGGTGCAAAGCCAGGTTAGGACCAGGCTAAAGCCTCATAGCATCATTTTCCCTCCACCCAGCCATGCTCAGCCAGCATAGTTTTGGTGTTCATACTCTTTCAACATATGGACAACAGCTCCTTTCTCTTCCTCTGCGCAGCCTGTGCCAGGTCAGCTGCTGCGGAACCATAACACACCACTGCCATGTGCTACTCCATGCTAACTCGCTTGTGTCCATGCTCATGTGCTTGGCTCCTACATCTGCCACCACGACATCCACTCTTTGCTTCTGGGCGCGGTGGTAGGTGTCAGTTCATGGGTGGGATTGGGCTGATAGACACCTAATTTACTGCCTGGCATCAGGTGTCTGTGTGCAAACAAGGTGGGTAAACTCCACGGCGAGCCTGAGGATGATTCAGAGGAGGGATGCAGGGGTGCAGGAAGGATGATCCCATCCTCTGCTGCCCTGGGGTGAGCGCCCCGCTGTCCCCCGCCATGGTGCTTTTTGGGTCTGGGTGCTTTATTGCTCCCATCTCCAGGTATCTGTCAGGGTTGCTGCCAGACAAGCAGTAAAATTGCTGCCTGCCTTTAGCGATGCCTGGGGTCACCCAAGGAGCTCAAGCTGAGGCCCCATCACAAGTTAAACTAAACACAACATGGTTATTACAAGTTCTTCCTCCCCAGCTGTCCAGGTCTTCTAATAAATGCATGGTTTTCTCTGAGAGCTTTTCAAGGTTTATTTTTAAAACAGTCTGCATTTGATTAAACATTTGTTTTGGTTTATTTTGTTTTTTTCCAAAAGGAACTTAAAAGGGCCATCAGCCTGTAAACATAAATATTCCCATTCTTTTGCTGATTCTTTGCATTTTTCTGGATTTGCTAATGAAAGATATTTCAGCAGTGAAAGTCTCTGTGATGTGGGCAGCATCCTCTACTCCCGCTTTCAGCTCAGGCACTGGAGCCCATGGGGTGCAAGCAAGAGATTACCACAAGTTAAGCATCTTTTTGTGCCTAGGTGGCTTCCACGGTGCCTTGCGTGCACTTTTACAGTCACCCAAACCCTTCTTACAGCTGAGCAACATCTTGAAACAGGCAACAGTGTGGGTAACGGTGAACCTAGTAGGTGCTGTGGCTTGCTGTGTTGTTAATCTGTGTGTATCTAGAACCACCAGCTATCCCTGCCTCCAGCTACAGTGGTGCAGGACATCCCCACGTTGGCCATGTCCTGTTCCCCGATGCTGCGCTCTCATGTTCAGCCCCATGCTGTGGTCCCTCACAGGTCCTGGGGAGATGGGCTGCAGTGATAAACCTCTTTGAGATCAAACAACCTCCTCTGTGTGCCGATGTCACAGTCATGTTACTGAGTGCAGCCACAGATATTAATTTACATCTGTGTTTTTTTCTTCCCTCTCTTCCTGCAGGTTATAACTGAGTAGCCCTTATGACCAACATGAGCTGGAGCTTTCTAACCCGCCTGCTTGAAGAGATTCACAATCACTCCACCTTCGTGGGGAAGGTCTGGCTCACCGTGCTCATTGTGTTCCGCATTGTCTTGACAGCGGTGGGGGGGGAGTCCATCTACTCCGATGAGCAGAGCAAGTTCACCTGTAACACCAAGCAGCCCGGCTGCGACAACGTCTGTTATGATGCCTTCGCACCGCTGTCACACGTCAGGTTCTGGGTCTTCCAGATCATCATGATATCCACCCCTTCAGTCATGTACCTGGGCTATGCCATCCACAGGATCGCCCGGTCGGCGGAGGAGGAGAAGAAGCGCAAGGGATTCAAGAAGAAGAAGCAGTTTGCTTTGAACTGGCAGGCAGTGCGCAACGTGGAGGACCCAATGGAGGCCGACGAAGAGGAGCCCATGATCTCTGACGACACAGCAGAACACGAGAAAGCCAAAGCCAAGCCCAAGAGCAAAGAGCAACAAAAGCATGACGGGAGGAGGCGCATCCAGCAAGAAGGACTGATGAAAATCTATGTCTTCCAGCTACTTACCAGAGCTTCGTTTGAAGTTTGCTTTTTGATAGGGCAGTATTTGCTCTACGGTTTCGAGGTAGAAGCCTACTATGTCTGCAACAGACTCCCTTGCCCTCACACTGTGGACTGCTTTGTGTCCCGGCCAACAGAGAAGACCATCTTTCTCCTGGTGATGTATGTCGTGAGCTGCCTGTGTTTATTGCTGAACATGTGTGAGATGTTTCACCTGGGGTTTGGGACCATCCGAGATGCCATCCGCAACCGGAAAATCAACAGCTTTAGGCAGCCTCCCTACAACTATGCCTACCCAAAGAACATCTCCTGCCCTCCTGAGTACAACCTGGTAGTGAAATCTGAGAAGTCCACCAAGATCCCCAACAGCCTGATGGCTCACGAGCAGAACTTGGCTAACGTCGCTCAGGAGCAGCAGTGCACAAGCCCAGATGAGAACCTCCCGGCAGACTTGTCCACCCTTCACAAACACTTGCGAGTGGCCCAGGAGCAGTTAGACATAGCATTTCAGAGCTACAGCAGCACCCAGGCCAACACGCAACCTTCTCGAACCAGCAGTCCCGCCTCGGGTGGCACGGTGGTAGAGCAGAACAGGGCCAACACCGCCCAGGAGAAACAAGGTGCTAAACCCAAGGCCTGCTTGGAGAAAGGGAGCTCAAGCAGTAAAGATGGAAAGACATCGGTGTGGATATAGATTTGTCTAGAAGGAGAGAGGGCAGCGTACGTGGGGTTTTCATTTTGGTTTGTTTTTTGGTATTGTCTTGCGTTCGTTGCACAGGCGCAATTTTTATATGGAAGTCAGGAGAGAAAAGGATTTACAGACCAATTTAGTGCTGTCTTCCAATGTGTTAACAAAAGACATTTCTTTCCAACACGTTCTCCAGTTGGGAACCTCCAGTGAGCAACAGCAAACCCCCCGCATCTCCCACCCCTTCATTCACCATCGAAGCCACCAAGAGACCAGACAATGTGCTGCGATGGGAAGCGGAGCTGCTGGTGGCTCAGAAGAGCAGTCAGGTCAACAGCGAGCAGCTCCCCTCCTGCATGCTGAGGCTAGAGTGCTGTAGGCCAGGCAGTGTTTAATTACTAAGCATTCTTAATCAAAACTAATTTCTGATCCCTTGATGAGAAAAGAAAACAACTGATGTGTTGCATGAACCTTCACGATACGCTTACAGCCGATGTCCTGCCTGAATTGTCAGATGCTCTAGCAGGCATCGCTGGAAACGAAGGCATCGTTCGATGCTGCGAGCCACGAGCTGGCACCCACATCAGGTTACGGGGCAGAAACACAGCGACTGTCATACACAGGGAGACCTAAAAGCATGGCACGGCACTGAAGGTCTTTTTGTCTTTTATTCCTCTTCGTCGAAGCAAAAAGCAAGTGCGGTCAAATGCTACACAGCAGGAGGGAGCAGTGACGTTGTGTTGTACCGGTGCCTGTGTAGCGCTTGCTACAGATGTGATGGGAATCGCTGCAGTTACAGCGTTTTTAACAAGTTGTTGCTTCACATCATCAGAAAGTGCCTTTATGCAACCAGGAAAAAAAACCCTTAAAGGGTTTAGCCTTCTTTATTTGCTGAATATTAGTAGAGATCAGAAGATCAGTGTTGGCAAATCTTTTTTTCTGTTTAATCAAACCCTTATAAATGTGGCAGATGGCTCATCTATGCATCGTGTGTCTATGATGTGTGTGTGTACATGTACGTATATATACAGACACATATGAACACGTGTGTGTGAATATAGACATAGACATACATATATATAAATGTAATATCAACCCTCTGGTAATTTTACAGCCTTCCACCTTCCCTGGGAAAACCCGGCTGGTCCAGGGCTATGGCTGATCTCATCCTGGAGCAGTCTTTGGGCTTCCAGCCTCCAGCCTCACCTGGGGAACTGGCAGGTTTCACACACTTGCTTGGGGACTTAGCAGAAGATCTGGCTTCAGTGGGGACAGAACCAGGATAGCAGCAGAAACTTTTTCCCTAGTTTATGGGGAGCTTTTTTTCAGCTTGGCTTGGTTTTAGGGTCATTTTTGTGCAGCCACAGGAGTCTGGGAGCATGTTAAAATCAAGCTGCTGAGCTCCAAGGCTCCTGCTAGTGCTGAGGATGTGCTTTGTCAGGGTGGTTTCATCCTGTGTGTCTTGCACAGCTGCAGGGCTGTGCCTTTGTGCCCCATCAGTAACACAAAATAGAAAGAAAACCTGATCAATGGGAGCACAGGAAGCATCTCCTGCCAAATGGTAGAGGTTGAAACCAATCACTGCCCCACTCTGCCACATCTCAGGGTGGGTCTGATCCCTGAGATGTTCCCCAGATGCCTGTGGCTTGGCAGATGCTCTCGCAACCTCCCAAGAGTACGATGGTTGATTCACCACCATGGAGAACCCAAATAGGCAGAGCCCTCAATATCAAACCTAATGTGAAAGAAGTAAATCCTCACTGAACACAGCACCATCTCTGTGCCGAGCTGTTCCCTCGGGGCTGTGCCAGCCACCCAAAGTCACATGTTGGTCCCTGTGCAAATATTTCTTATCCATTGGATCTACGTGACTACTTCCTGGGCATCTTTCTCATGTTGTTAAGATCAGTCCCTGAAAGCCTTGAGGATGCCTGTTCTCCATGTTCCTTGGGTGTGGCCTTCAGCTCCTGGAACCCTGGACTGAGCTGTGCCATGCCATTAAAGAACAGTGCTGGCAGCAAAAAAGCAGGTTTAAAAAGAAAGCAAAGAAACATCCTACGAGGCATCCAGCTGCAAAGTGCCTGCTGAAGGCATTGGTAAAATGCCTGGAGTCCTGCCAGCTCTCGCTGCTAGAGATTTTCCCCTTGAAAACAGACAGCCGCATGCAGGAGGAGGATCAGTGCATCCCCCCAGCAGCGATGGTCAGTAGTAACACACATCCATCGCGTGGAGGAACGGCCTTTTTGCCTTGAATTTTGCATGAAAGGCTCAGAAAGTTCACACCACGGTGGTGGGGAGACAAACATACCCAACAGCACTGTTTGTCGTTGTCCCACGTGAGGGAACGTGTTCCCCTCCTGGGCTGGGGCTGTGCTGGGCAATGCAGGAGAGGCTGGTTGCTGCTGGTGGAGATAAATGCATGCAGGTCCACAGCCCAGAGCCGCTGGGGAGAAGAGCAGAGGTGCTGCTGGGTGGAAGCTTGCTCCCGAATAATTACAGGTGTCCAGGGCACAAGCTTGCTGTCCACATCAACGTGACTTCTCCTTTATCGCCAGCCCTGTGTCCCACGGGAAACAGTGTGTATTTAAAGTCAGGATCCCGAGGGAAGGATGGAAACTCTGAGGAGAGTGACTGTTGGATGCTGCCTGGGTTTTTCCGATTCCTTTTAGATGAGCAGCAATATCACAGCCCCGGGTGAACTCATCCTTCCCACACAGTGACAGAAGGCACTGTGCTGTGCAGGAGTCCGGATTTTGGATTTCTCCGGCCCATACCAGAGACACCTCCCTCAGCCCCAGACGGCCTGGGCATTTCCCGATGACTCAGATCGGCCTCTTGGCTCCTGCTGACCTGCAGATTCACCAGAGAGTCACCAAATGGAGGGATGGACACAGGCCTCCCTTGTTCTTGCTTCAGGAAACCATCCTGGCAAACGCCTCACCGTGGGGGAAGAGGGGTCAGATTTTAAGGCAGAAACCCCAGAACCTGGTCACAGGGACCTGATCGACTCATTAAACCCACTTTATACAGCAGGGCTATACCCCCTGCTGCAGCGATACAGCTGGTCAGCACCCGATGGGAGGAGATCTCAGGGCTCCACGGCTGCAGGGTTGCAGACACTTAGAGCAACAGGGCTGGAAAGGACCACAGATCTTCTCCGCAACTTGTCACCATCAAATGCTTCCTTAATCGCTACGACAAACCCCCCTCGCTGCAGCCCCTGGTGTCTCCTCTCCTCAGCAGACATGGAGAACATCTCATGCCTTTAATGTCTGCAGAAGCTTTTGGGTATTTGAAGACTGTTTTCATCCTCCTCAAGTCTGCTTTCAGCTAAACAGCTCCGGTGTCATCAACCTTTCTCCAAGGGCTGCTTTTCTAGCATGGTTTTCCTCAGTGTCTTTGAACCACCACCAAACAGTCCATGTCTTCCCAGCAGTGTGGCAGTGCCGGTCCTTAGGCCACCTTCCCACTCTGCTCCTCTTCACGCGCCCATCTGCCACGCCGGTCCTCCCCAAAACCCCATCCTCTGGAGGCACAGGGATCGCTCCCCTCTTCAGATGTCTGCTTGTACAGTCAGGATCTTCCTGCCCTCCTTCAAACTCCCTTTTTATTTTCACACCGTAGACCCAGAGCACGAAGTGAGTTTTCAATGATCAGTCTGTCCCGCAGCAGATTTGCAGCCCCCTCCCAGCTGGTGTCACCATCACATTGAATGTGCACACATTGTTTTCCATAGTGAGAGTCAATAACTGCAATATTGACAAGTACTAGAGCCAGGGCAGACTCTTGGCCGATCAATACAGCCTCAGCGTCGGGCAGGGAGACAGGGCAACCACTCTCTCTGCCGTCCTTCCAGCCAGCCCCGCTCGTCTATCAGGCTTGAAATACATCCTTGCATAAAATGCTTTGCGAATGGGAGCTGATCTTGCTTCCCCGCGTTTTCCAAATGCTTTGACAGGGACAGAAGCACAAGGGCACATTCCCAGCAGGACTGCTCCGGTGTCGTGAGTTGCCTGGGAGAGATGCAAAGTCACTGGCAAAGTCCCAGCCAGCCCGGAGGACACTGTTGACTCCTCTAACCCCGCAGAGGAGGGACCCCAGTTCTCCCAGATCCCATCTGAGTCGCACACAGGAGCCAGCATGAGTCAGACAGCCCTAGAAATATACAGGATTATTATTATTGTTATTAAGAATAGTGAGTTGCTCACCTCCCCCCTTCCTCCTCCACTCTTCGGCCTCCAAAGCCTTTAGGATATTACGTTTTTCCACCGAGTCACTGCCACATAGGCGACCGACATACATTAACTTCTCCGCAGGAGAGAATCCTTTCGAGGCAGGGGCAAAAGTCTCCTCTTTTATCATGTCGGTTTGGGAAGGAAAAGGATAGAGGAGCAAAATAAGCATAACCACAAGCAAAAAATTCATCACAGCCATTACAAACTAAACCGGCATCTCAAGGAATTTCAGTTAGACGACAGGCAGCGTCAGCCACGGAAGAAACTCCAGTAGTATGATTAATACTTTGCCTTTTTTTTTTACAGGTTAGTAGTTTTGTTCACACACAAGACGGGTTTAGCTTTGTAGCCGAACTAATCATAAATGTTGACTCTCTCGCTAAACTTGGTCGGATAAAGCGCCCACACTTATATTTCTGTTCTTACCATTCAGGGCCAGGAATGTCCCACGTAAAAGCCAGATTACCTTGTTGCTTGCATTGCATTCCACTGGGAAATACTTGAACTTAACTCAAGGGCATAACCAGTCTGTGCTGTTACGAAGTTTCTGGGATTGTTATTTTTCTGTTGTTCATTTTTTTATGTACTAACTGTATTTGTACTAGAAATTTTTTGAGTATGAGGTTGAATCTGTAAGTATTTTCCAGTGTAAATGTTACATCTGGACTGTAGTTAGAATATTAAACACTGGTCAAAAGAGAAAGATCAGTCCAGGTCTTCAACTGGCTGTTCCACGTCCGTTACTAATAAAACAGAATAAAACTTGCATTT